GGCGTATTCTCCCTCACCCCCAGGAAGCAAAAGGAAAGTTCGCTCCTAATTGGAAGGGCCCATACATTATCAAAAAATTATTGTCAAAAGGGGCCTTATACCTGGGAGACATCGAAGGGAATGACCCGAAACAGTTGTAAATGCAGATGCAGTCAAAAGGTATTATGTCTAATCTTACTGCAGCAACAACATTATCCGATTGGGATGACAAAGACTTTCATTCTCGTTACCCCAAACACTCCAATCCTTTGATAACCCTTTGAGCTGGTTACCTTTCTTTCATTACCCTCTTTGGAACTGGAAAACGTTTGTAAAAAAGAGAAAAAAACAAAACAAAATAGAAAAATAAAAGAAAGTCAAAAACAAAGTTCTCTGAACTACGTTCGACTTGATTCCGAAAGGATACATAGGAAGCCTCTCTCTGGGGTTCAGTCACACCAAAACAAAAATCCAATTTCTCCCAAAAATGAAATTGGGGCAGATATTATAATTGGTTCGGTGATAATCCCGCCTAAATAGTTCCAAAGTTGTAATTTGACCCATATTCTTTTTATCTAAACCTTGTTCAAAGTCCTTCCAATCAAATCAATGAAATGTGTTCAAAATCGGAGAACGAAGCTGTTTGGATCCGATGCAATCAAGATGAGAGAAATAAAATGAGAGTCTTATTGGTGAAAACCCAAGGGCACCTTAAGCGATGGTGAGCAGAGAAACTGAAAAATTAGAGAGACTTGTTAGTGAAAACTCGCAAAGAGCACTATAAGGCGATAGTGAGAAGAGAAATGAGAGAGGTCGATTGGTGAAAACCCGCAAAGGGCGTCGTTGATCGAAAAGAGAGAATCCTTTGCAACCATTAGCACTGAAAGAGTCCTGGCAAGGTTTCTTGATTTTAAAATACGGTTCATCATGGGTTTATGAAAGATGGATAGTTACACGGATCGGGTATCCAATCCAAGAATGTCATGTCTATTGAAGTCTGTATGCACTCCAGATAAGTTCTTCTTCCCCTCTCCGAAAAGGACACTTCTCTTTAAATTCATTTTCCCTGTCCTTTGCTTATTTTTCTTTGAATCCCTTTTGGTTTGATTTTTCTCTGAAAGCTAATATAAAGAAAAGATGGCAAGATTGGTTTATAGGTTTCTGCTTAACAAAAGCCAAATCTAAAGAAAAGCACCCAGCCTCAGCGGGAGCATCAAGTCGATCCCGACTGGCCATGATGGCCGATGCTCTGAAGTCAAAATTATTGAAAATGAAAGAAATCCAAAGTCAAATACCCATAGAGGCAGAATAAGATAAAAGGTCCAAAGCCCCACACGGGTGAACCGTCATGTGAAATTTTGGAAAGTTGAGTTCCTCGGTTGTAGAAGAAAGATCAATCTTCAGAAAGCCAACAAGCAATAGAGGTTCTCGCCAAAGAGATGGGCCGAGATCAAGTGATCAAAATAATCAAGGCCACAAAACCAACCACCGTTTCAAACTAACAATTGTTCTTTACTTGAAAACTTGAAGCAGGTGCAACCCAAAACAACCGTGCAAGAAGCAGGAGCAACCAAAAAAGAAATGCGCAAGTGTTAGAAACAACTTTGCAGCAACGATCCATAAAGAGGGAAGTTCCCTCCGAAATTCTTTCCTGCATTCATTCATTTTATTAAAAAAAAGAAAGAAGAAAGGAGAAAACAAAATAAAAAAGAGATAAGAAGAAAAATTCAAAAAAAAATGGTAGCTTAGGATCCCCAATCTCAATTTTTACGCTTTGCCAACGTAGGGTCTCCACTCCCTAGTTGAGATTATTTTAGACATAGGATCTCCACTCCCTAGTCGCCTTTTGCCAACATAGGGTCTCCACTCCCTAGTTGAGATTATTTTAGACATAGGGTCTCCACTCCCTAGTCGCCTTTTGCCAACATAGGGTCTCCACTCCCTAGTTGAGTTTATTTTAGACATAGGGTCTCCACTCCCTAGTCGCCTTTTGCCAACATAGGGTCTCTCCCTAGTCGCCTTTTGCCAACATAGGGTCTCTCCCTAGTCGCCTTTTGCCAACATAGGGTCTCCACTCCGTAGTTGAGTTTATTTTAGACATAGGGTCTCCATTCCCTAGTCTCCTTTTGCCAACATAGGGTCTCTAATCCCTAGTTGAGATTATTTTAGACATAGGGTCTCCACTCCTTAGTCTCCTTTTGCCAACATAGGGTCTCCACTCCCTAGTTGACATTATTTTAGACATAGGGTCTCCACTCCCTAGTTGAGATTATTTTAGACATAGGGTCTCCACTCCTTAGTAGCCTTTTGTTAACATAGGGTCTCCACTCCCTAGTTGAGATTATTTTGGACAAGGGTCTCCATTCCCTAGTCGCCCTTTGCCAACACAGGGTCTCCACTCCCTAGTTGAGATTAGGGCTCCACTTACCAATTCCTTTTTCTCAGGATACACAATCCTGATTTTATTGCTTTCAATAAAAATTAGTTTATATTTCGTTACAATAACTCACGAAATTTTCCTAGTGAAAATTGGGGCAGAAAAATTTCGTTCGTTTGTTTGTTTTGGTGCCTGAACAGGTTTTTTACCATGAGGCACGAGGTTTGAGATGACCAAAAGAAGAAGTCTCAACCCAAATAAAAGAAAAGAAGTAATAAAAAAAGAAGTTGAACTCTGAGTGTAGAAGCGGAGAAAAGATGCAGATTGCTCAAGCTATGGTTGAAGTCACAAGCTTCATATGTCCCGCCTTGATCCGAAAGCTGAAGAAGAATGAATCAGCGATTGCAGCTGACGAGCATCAAGATTCAGATTAGAGTCCGCACGAAGAATCAACCAAGACTCAAGATCAAGCTTAGAAGACTTATAAATAGGAATCTTATAACTCGTAGTTGATAGGATTAACTAGTTTAGCTTTTTATCTTTTATTTTGGTGTAGTAAGGAGCTCAGCAAGCAGAAACAACAGCAACAGCAGTGAAATCACAGTTTTCCGGTAGTCCCAGCTACCAAAACTTCCAGAACTACACTGACCTGCTTCCTTTATAGCCAAGGATATGTAGGCAACCTCTAAAGCAAGGTTCGGTCAGGCTCTTTCAAAAATGCTTCTCATGGAGTCTCAAACGGGCAAAAATCCCTCATAATTGCTCATTTTATCTTTGCACGAAAACCCATCGTGTTTTCGAGCAAAGAGGGGCAGCTGTGAGCATGTGATTTTTGCCCTATATAAAATACTCCTATAAAAATCAAGAAAATAGATTTTTTCTTAATTATTTGACATTTTTAGGAATTTTTTTTGTAGATTTTTATTAATTGTTTGCATTTCTATGCATGTTTAATTTTATTTTTAAATCATGAAAAATACCAAAATATCATGCATTGCATTTAGGATTTGTTTTTATATTTTTTTAGGATTAATCAGTAATTATTTGCTTTATAAAAATTTGAAAATCACAAAAATAGCTCATTTTTACATTTTTTTCTTTTAATTTTAGTTTATTCATTTTTCTCTTTTAATTTAAATTTAAGTGATGTTTATAATTTTTTATAATTAGTTAATTATTTCAATTTCATATTTTTAGATAATTTAGGATTTTTAATCATTAGGATTTTTAATTAAAAAATAAGAAGAAAAGAAAAGGAATCTTGAAATAAAAGAAAGAATTGAATAGGGATTTATTTTTGTGAAATTGGGCCAATTTCTATACATATAGTCCAACCCAAGTCCGGTCCCAAACCCTTTTGACCCAAGCCCAAACCCTGCAAACCCGGTCTGACTCACCTTCGCCCAAAACGATGTAGTTGCACTTCAAAACTACGTCGTTTCACTCATTCCCTCCCCCCATTAAACGACCAAACGTATCCATGTCTTCATTTAATCCCTTTAGGTTAAACCTAATCCCATTTTTCTCTCAACGCCATAGCTCCGCCGCCCGGAAATTGCCCCACGGCAGCGGAGCACCTCCAAATGCCTCCAAATCTTAACCCTACAACCTCCGCCATCTCCTCGTCCTTGTCCCACCATCGATTTCCCCAAAAGATCACCCAATCCTTCCGAATTATAGATCCAAAAATTAAAAATCCAAACTTTTTTCTTTTTCCAAAGCTTTTCGGATTAAACCTTCAATCCATAGTAAATACCTCGTGAATTCCCCAGTTTCTTCAACAAGATAACTTTGTTTGAATATCAAAAAATCCCTTTCTCATGGATTTGTTCAAATTTTGGGAAATTAGCTTTTAACCGCTTCAATTTCTTCGAGCCTCTACTTCGCTTCTTTTTGGCAAACGATGAGGATTGCTACATGAATCATTAGCCATGAACGAAAATTCGCTAATATTCGTGTTGCAATTCTCACCGTTTGGTCGAGATTTTGGTTCACCAGAGTTCGAATTGGAGTCGTCATTGTTCTCGAATATTCTAAGGCTTAATTGCTATACCCCCTTTTCCCTTTTTCTATAAGTTCAATTACTAGTCAATAGCTCAAATCTCTTCTCCCTTTTCTGTTAATTCTGTAGGTTAAATTAGAGTTTTGGGCATTTTGTTAATTAATCGTTGATTTAGCTTTAGTTTTCACTTTTTTCTTTCAATATGTTCTTGTGAGAAGTTTTGACTACCGTTTGATTTAAAACGGGGTTTGAAAGATTAATTTTGGAGACCTTAAGGGTTTGATTGGGATTTAATTCAGGGGGTCCAAAGCTGGTTTGGCCTGATAGGTTCTAGGAAGGTTCCGGGAGGGGCTATTAGGTAATCAAACCACCAGAGTTTGGGTCAAATAGGTAAAATTACAATATTCAGTGATTGGAAGGTTAAAATTGGGATTTGTATGGGGTGAATATCAAAATGTTCTGGATTGTGTACAGTTGTCCTTATCCTTGTGATGAAAATACTGATTGGGTGAGAAAATGATGGACAGCTGTAAAAAAGGGGCTGTACTATTCTGAATTTTCAAAATTTAGGGTAGGATATTCCTTTTGGATGCCATTTTTGGATACCATATATATAGAAAGCACTCACTCACATAAAAAAGGGATCAACCTCTCTTTCAGCACAAAAGGCTTTAAAAGAAGAAATACATGATCAAAATAAAAAAAAGGCATAATAGATTGAGCTATTATCATGACTAGTCCTTTCTTCTGTTGATTTTTTAAAAGAAACTTGGAAGAAATCTTTTCTTTGAAATTTCTGGTTCAAGTTTGGGTCTATTTGAAGCTGTTAGTGCTGTTGTTGGGCTGTCATCTCTCATTCATTGCTGAAATCCTTGCTTTCTTTGTTCTTTGCTGTTATCCAGGTATTCTCATCAGCCTCGAAGAGACAAAAATGGAAATGTAGCCTTTGTTTTCTTTTTTGGAATATGAACTCAGATCCTCCCTCTTCTTTTCTCTATTTGCTTTTTCTTTCTGTTGTTCTTCCTTTTCTGGATTCAAGTTCCTTTCTCAAGTTGTGATTAAATGTTGTTGGTATGGTTGTACTACTCTATGATGCATGTAAGGTTTGAGTGTTAACGTGTAGGCTAGTGTAAGGACTTCATGAATGGTATAATGGTAGGAAGTTTTGAATCGATTTATCTTGAGTATGTTTGTGTTTATCAAATGACCTTACTTGCTGATTGTTATTGTGAATTGGTTTGAATACTTGGTTGATTTAATATCTAAACATGTATAATTCTGAGTTTAAATCGTGTGCTTCTAAGTCTAAATGTTGTCACTGTTGATTATATGGTGTTATAAATGGCTAAATCTAGATACATGTGTGACAACTTCAAGCATGTTAAGTTTTTTTTTTCTTTCTTTTTCTAGAAACTGTCGGAGAAGTGCAGCTCAAAATGCTGAGCATAACGCCATGTTTTGGCAAATTTGACCATTAATTGGTCCGATTAGCAAAGTTGAGATTAATAGTGGAGTAAGAGCATGTTTGATAGATTCAGGCACAGTTTAAAGATTAGCCTTTCCATTTTAAATTGTTTACTTGTTGGATATTATATTGCTGTAATTAAATGATCATTTGTTCCTCATGAATATTTGAATGCATTGGTGTAAAGCTTTTATTTTATTTATTGTATGAGTTTTTTGGTTCAGACATTAACTTGGCAAATTATACCCTCAACGTTTGGGCTGGGATCAAAGCCAGGCCAGTTCATTAAGGCCCAAATTTGGACTTTTAGAGTCCATAAGCCTGCATTCGATTGAACATGAATTGCAACATGCCTCGTCACTTATACATGCAGACTGTGTTGGGCATTTGGGCTGTCCTTTAGCCCTTTTTCGTTTTCATTATAATCCATTGGCTGAGATTAATTTCATTTTTATTCAATCAACGTGTGGTATCTCCTTGACCCATTCATTGTCAAAATCGTGAACTTAGGAAAAAATAATTAATCATGAGTAACTGTAGTTTGATTTTAGACGCGCAATTAAATTATTACAACTACGGATACGACTCCCGTGACGTGGTTGTGATAACTAGTTTTAATTTAGTTTAAAATTGGAATACCTTTAGTTTGCCTTTAAAATATTTATAATTTTTTTTTCAAAATAACTTGAGGTGTGCCATGCTTTAAATCTATAACACATGGCCCTCACAAATTTAGATTAAATAATTTGGGGTGTGCCATACACAAATAAAATTCTTTAAATTATGGCCCTCATAACCTTAATTAAAATTTGTGAATTTGAGGTGTGCCATGATAAACAAAACCCCTAAGTCCATGGCCCTCGTATAATTAGTAATAACTCTTTAAGATCGAGGTATGCCATTATTAAATTTTCCATGGCCATCGCAAACCTCTTATTAATTTGAACCATCGTAGTTTGCTTTAGGCCCGATTTAGATTAGTATTGCGATTATATATATACGATCGCTTAATATGATTGCAAATTTAACTCTAAAAAGGCTCGAGGGATGCGTTCGCGCAACTTCAACCAAACTTTCTTAATAAATCAACAAGAGCATTATTAATCGTGGACACGTTCGTGTGACATGATTTGACGCGCCAAGCGAAATGAGTACGCGTGACTCAATTCTTTAATTACGAATAATCAAGCAATTAAAAGCGGTAAAAAGTTAAATGCACATAGGTTTTAAAATAAGTAATTAGACAACTTAAGCCAAGTATAAATTGCTAAGCGACCGTGTTAGAACCACGGAATCCGTGAATGCCTAATACCTTCTCCCGGGTTAACAGAATTCCTTATCTAGAATTTCTGGTTTGCAGACTTCCAAAGGAAAGTCGAAATTTCTTCGATTTGGGATTTAAAATAAACCGGTGACTTGGAACACCAATTAAAATATTCCAAGTGGCGACTCTAAAAATTAAATAAATAATCCCATTTCAAATTATGTCACTTTAATTGGAAAAACTCCCATATACCTTTCGGGGCGTAGAAAATAGAGGTGTGACAACTATTCTAGAGCAGGTGGAAGAGCATGCACTAGCTGTGGAGACAGAGCTCCTTAATATAACACAGGAGCTGGTCAAAAATATTCCAACTAAGAAGAAAAAGAAATTCAAGTCCAACCCCCGAAGACTTATCTGATGTGGAATGGCTCGAAGGTTACTCAGGGGAGAGAACCTTTCCTACCCTTAACCTTAGGCCGGTGAAAAATAAAGGGGGAGAAGAACGAGTGCAAACTCAACACTGCAATTCTCATTGAGGTCTATATGCTTACACCAATGAAATCACCAACACAAGAGGCAATGAGGTCGAATGGTCAAAGGGAACAACACATGAGACGTCAAGCTGAGGACACAGACATGATACTAGAAACGCAAGGCGGTGAATCACAAATGCTGGATGAGATAGAGGCAGATGATGAAAACTTGCGAAGGCCACATAAGGTCCTTGCCTTTTAGGATAATACAGAAATAATGTCAAGTGTTCAGGATATAATAACTAAATTCAACAACCTCTCACCAAGAAGTACTCAGGCCCAAGATGGAGCTAAGGGCTGGCCATCACCAAGATCAATCAAAAATAACAAAACAGGAACAAAAGCTTCCACCCTTAATGTTTCTCATGATTAACACAATTTCAGGGAATATAAGGGCATAAAGTCCAAACAAGCTTTTGAGAGGCTTAAATCTCTAAAAACACAATACAAATTACCCTTTATTGCCTTACAAGAACCCATGGTCAGGTCTTCAAAAATAGAAAGATACAGATATCGGTTGGGTATGCAACACTACTACCACAATTGTAACAATAAAATATGGATCTTTTGGGCATCAGATGTGGGACTGACTGTACTGGAGGACACAGAACAACAAGTTACTTGCCAAATTTTAGTTCCAATGTCAACAACACCGTACATATATCATTTGTATATTCCAAGTTTACAACATTGGAAAGAAAGCAGCGATAAGAGCATGGCATAGGAAGATTCAAGTACCGTGGGGTGTGGAAGGTGATTTAAATGAAATTCTTGATGTTGAGGAGAAATCAGGTGGAAGGTCATACTGAATTGATAAAAGCTTTGACTTTATGAAATGCATTGATGATTGTGGCCTCAAAGATGCAGGTTTCTATGGTGCAAGGTTTACCTGGAGCGACAATGGAGGGCCAACTAAAACAATATGAAAAAGATTGGATAGATTACTTACTAATCAAAATTGGCTACACGTGTACAACGAGACCTCGGTTTTACACCTAGCTAGAGTTTGCTCAGATCATACTCCCTTATTGATCACCATGAAGTCTACAAAAAATAGCGGGCCAAGTTATTTCAAATTTTTAGACTTCTTGGTAGAACACGAAAGATTTTACATACGGTGAAAGAAGTACAGCGGGAACCAATTGATGGAAATTCTATGTGGATACTATATCAAAAATTAAAGAAAGTCTGCCAAAGATTAAACAGGTGGTCCAGGGAAGCATTTGGGGACATGTACGAAGAGCTAAAGAGGCTGGAAACACGAATTGCAGATCTAGAAAATGCTCTAGTAGTGGACAACTCAGCAAGTAAAAGAGCTGAGTTGAATAAGGCGAAGGCCTTATGTGCAGTTTCTTAAACTTCAAGAAGCAATTCTTAGACAAAAAGCAAAGGCCAATTGGCTAAAAGACGGGGACAGGAACACAACATATTTTTATAGTATAATAAAAGGCAAAAGGAAGAACTGAATATTCAAAGAATCCAAGAGGATAGTGAAAATTAGAGAGAAGGAGGTCAAGACATTGCTTCAGCAGCAATTGATCACTTCCAGAGAATATTTTGTCATAATGAAGCCTCAGAGGATATGTCGGTGCTAGACTGTATAGAACCAAGAGTGTCTATAGAGGACAACAGAATTCTTACAACAATCCCAACAACTGATGAGGTGAAAGATGCTGTATTTTCTATTAGCCCAGAGAGTGCAGCTGGACCTGATGGGCTGAGTACACTTTTCTACCAAACCTGCTGGTCTGTGATTTCAAAGGACGTGTATAATGTTGTCGTGGATTTCTTTCATGGGGTAACCATGCCCAGGTTCTTTACACATACATGCCTTGTACTACCACCAAAAGTTGACTTTCCCCAACGCTTGTCTGACCTACAGCCAATTAGCCTTTGTAATGTATCGAGCAAGATTATTGCAAAACTTTTGAACTCAAGACTGGGAAATATTTTACCAAAAATTATCTCCAATAACTAGTCAGGATTCATAAGGGGCAGATCAATGGCAAAGAATATTCTATTGGCACAAGAAATCATAAAAGAAATTAATTAACCCTAGAAGGGTGGCAATGTGGTCCTAAAGCTTGATATGGCCAAGGCCTATGATAGAGTCGCTTGGCCATACTTAAGTCACCTGATGAAAAAGATGGGTTTTGCGGCTGGTTGGGTAGATTTAATACAGAGACATATTTCAAGAAATTGGTACTCCATGATCATTAATGGGCAGAGATATGGCTTCTTCGAGTCAGAGAATGGGATGAGGCAAGGTAACCCCATATCACCATCACTATTTGTTCTGAGTGCAGAGCTACTCTCAGTCATGCTGAATGATTTACAAGAAAGAAGAAGTTATACAGGGTTCCATATGGCTGATCGGGCCCACAAGTCAACCACCTAGCTTTTGCAGACGATATTATCCTTTTTTGCTAGTGGTCGCAGGAAAACATTGAAGCGGATAATGGACACTCTATCTGGATACGAAGAAATATCAGGACAACAAATAAACAAAAGCAAAAGTTGCTTTATGATAGCTGCTGGAGCATCGAGAAGAACAATCAGCAGGATAGCTAATGTCACGAGAATGCAGCGTAAGGAGTTTCCTGCCAAATACCTGGGACGCCTACTTTTCATACGAAGACAGAAAATTTCACACTAATCAGACTTAACTAGCAAAGTGACGAATAGAACAAGAGGGTGGCACATAAATTTTTGTCTACTGGTGGTAACACCATTCTCATCAGGCATGTTCTACACGCAATACCTATTCATCTCCTGTCCACTATGAATCCGCCGAAAGGAGTGTTCGCTCAAATAGAGAGAATATTAGCCAATTTCTTCTGGAGGGGCTCCGATAGGCATCATTGCATGTCTTGGAAGGGTTTGTGTTATCCATATAACGAAGGCGGAGTTCAGTTCAGGAGGCTACAAGATGTCAGCAATGCATTCACAACTAAGTCATGGTGGAACCTGATAACAGGCACATCGCTATGGAAAGAGTTTATGTTGGCAAAATACTGCAAAAGGAACCATCCCCTAGTCACTAAGTGGATAACAGGACAGTCACAACAATGGAAAGCGCTATGTGATATTAAGTACGAGTTAGAACAAAATATAATATGGCTTCCTGGGAAAGGAGACGTGTCCTTCTGGTACGATAATTGGACAGGGCCAGGCCCATTATACATTCACCTGCCAGCAAATGCTAAGCCAAAAGACGTTAAAATAAAAGAAGTTCTCACTCAAGGAAGCTGGCAACTGGACTCAATGGGTATAGAAGTGCCTGAATCAGTCAGAGATGAAGTTGCCCAACATTAAATAACTTTATCTCCAACAGCCCCTGATAGAGTAATATGGGCTGCAGAAAGAAGGAGCAGTCAAGATGGTTTTCGAAGATATGGCAAAAAC